AATTTTCAGCTCTATATCATAATGTTTGACGAAAATATTCGCCAAACAAAGATCAAAAATGCTTCATTTGGCGAACTAATTTTTTCTGTCTAGGTTCTTTCTATATATACTTACGTTTTTTTTGTTAGAAAGAGCATGTCAAGATGCAGGGCATGAGAGTCTCTTTTTGTTAAATTCTTACTTTTTAAGTAGAGAAATCGCATCACAAGCTCCAAAACTTAAAAAGTCCTCAAAAAATGCCGTTCTGATTATATAAGTGTCTGTATATATAATAAAAACAAAGGTTGATTTTAAAAAAAAGCTTTTTCGTGTCATGTGTCTTGACGACACACTCCTTCAAACAAAAAAAGTAAATATGTAGAATAGATACCGACTGAGAATTTTGGTTTGCATGATCGGAAAAGTATAAAGTGAGAAAAAACGAAAAAGATTTTCTATTTTATCTAAAAGAAAGCATATTTTTCAATAGAAATCATCAAAAATTTTGGACAAAAATGCCGTATTCAATTAAAAGTCATATCGTTTCTGAAAAAATAAAATCTTGTCTATTTTTCCATGCATTTGTCTCTATGTTCATGTTTTTGATAAATAATTGACTTTTTCTTAAGGGAAGAGGAGAACTTAAGAGATATAATTCTGATTAAATCATTTTCTTTTTCATTCCTTTTACATTCTTATACAAAATGAAATATACTTTTTTTCGCTCCAATTTAGTCATTTTATGTCCAATTATTTTTAGAGAGATCTTAGTCGATAGAATGAAAAAACCAAAAAGGTTGCAATGTATTTCAAACATTGTGTTGACTATTAAAATTCTAAAAATGTTCGAAAATTCGAGAAATAGAAGAGTTAATATTTCTCGCAATTGTAAGAAAGTATCATTGGATTTTTAAGTATTTAATATTATAAAAATTAGAAATAGTATCATCGATAGATTTTCAAAGCATTAAGACTGATATTGATTTCATCATTGGAAATGACATTATTATCCTTTGCTTTGGAACAGATTAGAATGATGATTTTTGTGAAATTTTAATGTTTGCATGACATGATTTTAATACCAATGTAATCTTTTTGACTATCTGACTTTCATATAAAGCTGACTATTTTCATGAATGAATAATTTGAAAATCATCGATGACTTTGAAATACATAAAAATATGTCCGTTTTCATCATTGAAAAATGGTATTTTTTTAAATATTTTTATCATCATTTTTTTCCTAAATAAATTTTCCTTAAAATGATGTATCTTACATCATTTTTTGCAATGTTTCATTTATTCTATGCAATTCGATTTTTCTAGGACGAGCAAATGGCTGCAGCAGCTAAATTCTTAACAGCACTGAATAATTTCACAAGTGAATCAAATAAAGAAATAAATTTACTTCTTTTAAATAAAAATAAATCAATTGTTGAAGTAAAAGAGAAAATTCAATCGTACACAAAGAAATTTTTAGAAACAATATCGACTATTTAATATTAATTGTTCTTTTTTTTGTGTATTCGGTCTTTTTTTTTGATGATATATGTTCTTCAACAGGCACTTTTCTTCCTATTTGTTGTATTGCTATAGGTTCTTTTTTTATTAATGTGGTTGGATTTTTTGCTGTTATTTTTTGTTAAAACATTTATCTCTTGTGAAGAAAAACTCATTGTATTATTTCGATTAACTCTTATTTCTTACTGATTTATAAATGTATAAAAACATTGAAGTACAATGATACATTTTCACTTTATGACATCAGACACGAAATGTTGAAAAACTCTATTTTATTTAGTTAGTTAAATATGTGTAGATTATTGTCAGAATTATTTCATGATCTTCATGAGCAAAAACTGTTACTTACTTTTTTGCACAAGATGAACATTAATAAATCAAGTCATTTAAATTGAAGTCTGAGGAGAAAATATGGAATCGAAAGTTGTCTTAGAAACCGAATTAGACTTAATTAATAGAGATATCTCAAGTGAATGGTATTATTGTATTTTTCTTTTGAAAAGAACTACAGTAGTTAAAATATGTTCAAATAGTACCAAATATCTTCGATTGTATCAAAAGTTTTATTTATCTCGGTCAATTAGCATGTTTAACAACACATTCGATCCGATGAGACTCATCGATGGGTCTCACTATATTTTAACAAGACACTTAGTAGAAAAACACTTTCTTTTCATATTTTCTTACAATGGAGGTGTGTGTGTGTGTTGATAAGCGAAAAGATGGCACATGTTTGTGTCAAATGAAAGGTCTCATCGTCAAACTAATAAGGTTAAACTATTAGCTGCCCATAGCGTCCATAGAGAGAGATATTCGATTTTTACGGTACTCAAAATTTGGATATATAGGAACATTATGAATTATTTACATTAGTTTTTCATGCCATCAACTAAGTCTTTCAATAGTAGACAATAAAAATCTTTCTGAAGTTTATCATTATGATTAATATCACATTCGTTTCGGTATCTTCTATAAGATAAGTAGTAACGAAATATTGTATATGAGTATCAGGGCTACGATTTTGATAACGCTGTCGCTTTCACATTTAAAAGTGTAATAAATTTTGCTACGTTTCTATAGATTCAAAATGGCACAAGCTAATTACATTCCAACTTAGCGTTTTCTTGACGTTAATGAAGAACCTCAAAAACGTCTTTTACCCATACAAAGTTACGAGTTGAAGCCACTCGTCTCGCTTGGAGAAGCCGTACAGACACTCGATGACCTGATTGAAAATATTCAAGGTTTCGTCTGGACTGCTGTGGGAAGCTGTAAGGAGGAAAAAGAAGGACTTTCGTCTAATAAACGCGCTGCAATTTATCTCTATACAATGGAATGCATGTATCATCAATTGAATGCTGCACTCAGAAGCAACGATTGACAAAAACTTGCAAACTCATTCGGAAATTTTGCAGATAGATAAGGTTCTTAGAACTAAGCAACTAGCCTAAGTGTAGAAGCAACAAATAGGTGAGCAAAGAGTTTTTTGAATAGTTTCATTTTATATTTTTCCTACTTGAAACTATTTCTGACGGCTCTTTGGAAATTACGTGACGTGAAAGATGGTGTTTGGCGAGGTATTAAAAAAATATCTTGAAGATCAATATCCGATGGGAAGGAAATTTCTTTGGTGGGGTGCATCTAGCTGTATAACTTCATTGAACGTGCTTCAAAAAGAAACATTTCTCGATGAGAGGGGGTCAAAGAACACTTTTCAATATTAAATCTTTTAACGGAAAAATGATAAAAAATCACTTCCAGTTTCCGAATGAAAGTCAAGTTTTGCTCATGCCGTGTAGTCATTTTGAAGTTGAAGGTGTTATAAAACAAGGTCCAGAACTTCGAATTATTCAACTGAGACAGATTGAGCCGCCCGTTACACTTATCAAAGTCCCGTTTCCTCCAATTCAACAAGATGCCGCTGTGAAAATGACTCCTACTACAGTTTCTACTGCTCAAAAGTTAACCAATTTGAGTCCAAATTCGAAGTCATCTACTTCATTGACCAATAATACACTAACAACGTCTTTAAATTTCGATGTTTTGAAAGACAAACCAAGACTAACTTTGAGTGTTGATATAAGCTTCTCGGAAATGGCTGCTAATGATAGATATTTACTATACTCTTCAAAAGCCAGACTGTGTTCATTTGATGCACAAGGAAATGACAATTTCAAGGTTCAACTACATTTTTATGTAGTTAGTATTTGCTGGTCGTCTTTCTTGAATCAATTTTTTGTATTGGGTGATGGTAGAAAATTATATTCATTAAGTGTAACTCGTGATAAGATACAGCAGTTAAAAGAAATGATAAAATTTGATTAAGGAGGGGAAAACTATACATGTTACAAAGAAACTTTGTTAGTTTCATCTGATTACAGAAATGAAGAGTATAATTTAAAGATTTGGAAGTTAGTTCAAACGTATGAATCACCTGCATTATGTAGAGAAGTTCACCGGATTTGTTCAATGAAATATAATTCAACAGGAACGCGTCTTGAAATGATTCTAAGCAAATGGAACAATGCTAAAGATCGTATGTGGTTTGAACTTCGTCGTTCGAATAAGATGCATATCTTACAAGTTACTGAACTTGAAGTTACGTTTCGTTCACATAGTTGTCTCCTTTCTCTCCCCGAAGATATATTCCTGGCTTCTATCGGGACAAACAAATTGTATTTATTTAATTCAAATGGAACATTAAAAGAAACAATTGATTATGATGCAAATATATTTTCGACAGCATTGATCAATGAGAAATGTCTTGTCATACAGGCACGTGAACCTTACCAACTGCGTTTCTACAATTTATAAATCTTTTGCTCCTCTAAGACTTGTCTTCCTTTTAACACATTTCGATCATTCAAATAAACTCATCACATGTAAAATAATACAAATTAGTGAAGTTCTGTGAAAGGTAGCATGTCATAAGTTTGCTTGAAAAGAGTTTTTTTTTTCTTGATGAGTTTTAGTTTTGAAGTATTGTGCTCAATCGTGGGAATGCTTGGTTTAAAAAAATCATCTATACAAAGAGACGGCACTCAGCACTTTCTCAATTCCGAGTATGTAATGACGAGCCGCTTATCTTTGCTTCACACCTTCAGAAATTGCTCCATTTATTCGAAAATTTTTGATCTGAATGCCTCGTGGATGTAGGTGAAGGTACCAATGAAAACAAGACCCATACCCACACCCACACCCTTATCGTATACACTATACTTATTACTAATAAAATTCGATCAGGGTATTATCGAAATCCAATTCTCTCACTGACATGTAAAATAATATCACTAGCATTGATCCTTTCAGACAAAATAAATACAACTATAGATCAATAGCGCACGTAAATCAATATTTGTGTACTTTATCAATAAAGAAAGATGTGGAGCGTGGTTGTAGCTATTGTTTAGGCCAATATTCACACCCACATCCCAAAACAAAAGCGATTTTATTATATTTTATTTATGACAATCTATAGAAAGTGTATATCAGAAATCAATATTACCACCATAGATACAATTTTTGATGAGCCAATTTGATTGAATAGTTATCCAAAAATTTTTCGGAATCGATCATGATCTTTAATATTTGGTACATTTTTGTAGTTGCATTTAGAAGACATAACGAGAATAAATGACGAATATTTGCATTAGTTTTCATTAATAGTAATTTAATAATGGATTCAAGATCATTTATTGAAATATTCAGTATCATATATTGTAGTCGAGGACACAAAGTGACAAGTAGTTCATATTTATCTAATGAACAAATATGAGAAATAGTTAAACTTGTAATCTTGTTTCCATTGTATACCAAACGAAAAAATTCAGTTTGTTGTATTGATATTGGATTTGGTTGATACAAACGTATAGAATAAAGTTTTAATGTTTGAATATTGAGTGTAATACTTAATAATTCAAGTAATTGATCGAAACAAAACACACCCCAATTTATAGTTAGATTAGTTAATTGTGTCAAACAAATAATATGATGGAAGATGACAGCCGTCGAGTAATTACATCCACACCAAAGAGTGAGTTCAGTGGCTTTTAAAAATTGAACCCGATGAAATACAATCGACTCTTCATCTTCCATATAAACATGACGAACCAAATCATGAAGAGCTTCTTGACGATGTGAACACCTATCTTTATTTGATAATTTGTATAATTTATAATGTTTTCGTCTCAAAAGACAAAAAAATCAGAGCTAGTTGGTATCAAAAAATTGATATTACTATACCCGTATGGTTGGATGGAATAGAAGATCACACCGCCCATATTTTCTTCAACATAATGTTGATGTGAAAAGAACCATCGTCGTTCAAAATAAAATGAAGAATTAAATTGATCGATCATTTTATGAAATTCAGTGATATTAGAGTATGAATTATATACGAATTCCTTATGTTCAAAGTCAAAGATACGTAAGTAAGGCATAGAAGTTAAAATCAATGTTTGCCATCTTTTAGCATTCAAATATGTCCTATCATTGCTTGTAGAAATACGCAATAATTGAAGTTGATAAAAGCGATTTTTGACCAAGGATTCAAATAGATTAAAATTTGTAAATTGCCATGTGAGTGAAACATGTATTAAAATTGTTTTGTACAATCGGTATTTCTGTTTTTTTTTGTTTCTAGATGCAGTTAATGAATAATACCACAAACGACGAAGTTGAGGAACATAAGTTAAAAAAGCATCGAGTTCATAAAATTCAAAAGAATTCTTAATGGCCATATGTTCGATAGTGATGCATTTATTGATAATAAGCAAGAGTGATTCAGGTTCAACGCATTCTTCATAGGATAATTTACAATATTTCAATACCGGTAAGGAAAATGTTTGACGATAAAGAGTAGTTTTATTTGATTTACAGTCAACAAGAGCAATAGTCAATAAAAAGAGATGAGGCAATAAAGTTAAATATTTTAGAATATTTCCAAGATATTTTGATTCGAGATTTTTAAGAATAAGTGTTTCAAGTCGATGAAATTTTAAAACAATAGAAGAAGATGTAAAAATGAGATCGATAACGAACAGATTTGATGAATAAAATGATTTAATTCGATGTTGATTTGGTATAATAATATGAGTATAATAACGTTCAAAGGCCAATTTAGATATGAATGACATATTGATTTTAATAGAAACAGTTGAATAAATGAGAAGATTTTGAAATCGTCAATTAAGATTTGAAAAAGCTTCGTATAGATCGTAATTATTGGGAAATTCGACGATTTCACAGATAAGTTTGTTTGCAAGATCTTCAAACTTAGTAAACGACAATCTATATTAATAATAGAAAATTAAATAGAAAAAAATATATTAAAAAAAAGTTTGATTTTTCTTCAAAGCAAGATATTGTCTTACCATATTTTTTGAGTTTTTGAAAAAAAACAATTAGATTGTCATTATGAGTTAAAAATTGAATATTAAAGTTTATGTTTTGTTTCCTATGATATCTAGTGAATTTTATAACTTTTTTTGGTAGAAATGTGCTTCTGTATATGCTAGTTATGTATTCAAAAGATGAGACTAATTGCTTGAAGATTCAAGTATCTAGGACTATGACAATAACATCATGTTCATCATAGTGACATTTCTTTCTAATAAGCGATATATGTCTGAAAATTTTAGGAGAGAATGGACACCTATAGGGGAGCATTTCCTATAAGTTTCAAGTCGAACTGTCAAACTTTTACTGAATTATGAAGTACACAATGACATAGAATGGTTTATCTGTATATAGATACTTACAATAGAATGGCTCTAACTCCATAATAGCTCGATGAATTTCAGTGAAAATTTTATTATAGATACCTACAATACAAGGCTACAGAATGAGAGGTCCCGCAGCTCCTTAAGTCTTGTCATTCCTAAGTTATGAAGTCTACAAGGGTGACAGACAACTTGCATTATAACTTTCTTTTACTTCATACAATTGGGGTGCGGATTGTGCCGCTGACCTACATTTATCAAGAAGTATGTATATACAAGTTTTCAGATCTACAGCCTTTATAGAAGTGAAAAATCTAGTGCGGACATACTTTTGGCCAGTACTGTAATCTGTCCCTTCTCTCGATCGAGATTAGTGCACATTTATATGCTTATTTCTTCCAACTGTTGATTCAGCAGACGCTACTCAACGACACTCTCGCGATGCATCGATTCAACTTTCAAACACGTGAGAACCTACTCTGTTCAGCTAGCATTATGTCAAGCTTTTTTTTCGAGCATTGTTATTTTCACCCTGCTTGAATCTGTTCTGCGCAGAAGAGCTCTCCATATAGCATAGAATGAAAATTGAAAGCGAACACTTGCTTTCATCTCCATCTGTAGTTTTCAATGTGTCATAAGCAACCCAAGCCGCCCTCATCGGATCACACGTCACAGATGTCAACATCGAAATGTTAGTGCATAAATTACTTACTGATGTTCTCGAATCCAAATTTTATGATCCATGATTTCAGCTGAGTTCATAGTCAAATGAATTAAAATGACATTCTTTACTCAATTATAATCTGATTTTTACACGTCAACTTTTACTTTTTTTATTGCCAAGATTTTTGTTTTTGAATTCTCTCTAATAGGTCAAAAGTATTTGTCAATTTTTATTAATTGAAATTTATTGATGAATTTTAATCGATAAAAGAAATTAGGAAGAAATGCTAAAAATTACAACAAGCCAAAAATAGACATTTCAAAATAGATTTATAATCGTTTTTATACATGGATAATATTCGTTTGAAATTATATAAAAAAAAGGTATGAGCATTGGATATAACCATGATAAAAATTTTTCGTTACGTTACCAACCCATTCCATATCTGACCTTAGTTTACATATCTTAAGGGTAGGGCGAAAAAAATGCTCTGTGACGTTCTCTGATCAGTAGTATACTATCTTCCTGTATTGAGATGATAAAAGTGCTTTAGTCTAGTCATATTTATATGTTATTTCTAGACCTGTGACAGCTCACAGTTCTAAGAATTGGTTCTTTTTTGAGAATTTGGTTCGGTGATCAATTTTTTTCATATGGACTCAGTGTACTGACAATGATAAAGTAGTAATTCTATTCCGTACTTGTTTCACTTGTCAGGAAAAAGAATTGAATGAGGATACCAATTCGATTCCTTGATCGTAAACTGTCGCAGGTCTAGTTGTTTCTAAATATATACTGATTGAATGAAGAACCAATGGACTTTAAAGAACATAGAACAAGCATGAAACTTTTTTACTTCGTTGAAATCTAAGAAAATTCGCAATCCGCTGCGTCATCTTGAATATCACCCATCGAAAGCCCATTGTACATCAACCAGTTGTTAGCCAAAGGTGAATATAGCCATGTCACACTCTTGATTTTAGTAAAAAGTTGACATTGAATGATCTGATAGGTTAAAAATGTATATGGATGATATAGGAGAAAGATGCTACATGAGTATGAGTAAAGGACAAGAAGAACGAAAAGGGAAAACACATATCTAGGGACAATAAAAAGCAAAAAAAAATGATATATTCGTAACAGAAACAAGAATAAACAGCAGGTATCACACTACTTAACACATGTAACTTTTAAAAAAAGCTTTACAATCATCTTTTTAATGCATAATTAATGACATTTAATAAGCTAGATCACGTACCATCTAATGTTTACCCAAACAGAAAGCACTACTATAATCGGTAGTATAACTAGTGCCAATAAATTCGAATGAAGATGGAAGTGCATCTTTAATTTTTTTACCCATATAAAAGACATCATCCTCATCCTTAGCATAGCCAAAACCAAGTGATTGAAATGAATTTGCATCTGCACCCCAAATTTCTTTATTTAAATAATAGACACCAAAACTAGTTTTAGCATAACCATAACCAAGTAATTGAAATGTATGTGGAGATGCATACTCAATTTTTTCACCCATATAATAGATCTCTTTGTGATCTTTAGCGTAACCATCATTAATCAATTGAAATGTACTCGGATTTGCATCTCCAACTATCTTACCCATAAAATAAACATTTCTGCTGTCCATAGCATAGTCCCAGTATAAGTTGCATGCATCAGTATATGCCAATTTGTTACGATCAGGTCTATTATCGGTATCTTTGTTTCGTGCATGTCGATCTTCATTACGTTTTTCTTTGTTTTCGTCTTCTTCCAAAAGAGAGTTCAATCGTTCATCGAATAGGTTCATTAGAGCTTCTTTCTGTGAGTCACGCTCTGTCATAGATGCTTTCGCAGCTTGATTATTGGGTATCATAAGAAGAAGAGATATAATAGAAAGAAGGAAGATGGAGTCGAGCTGCATAGTAGTTGTTTCTGTTTTGTTGATAAGTAGAATGATATGAATGCAATGTGTCTTGTAATATTGTCACTCTTGCTTTTATAGCTTATTACAGTAGGAGTAATTATTATTTGAATAATTTTCGCCTATTGGTTCGATTCACTATCGAAAAAAAATAACCAATTTAAGTGTACATTCAATATTTTGTCAATCGACTGACTTCACATTATTCATTCGTCTACACATCACAGAATGTTATAGAAAAAGTCAGAGAACATGCATGTATATTATCACTTTATGAATAACAAGGACATGTATTAATATATTTTTCTTTTTCACATGATCAATCAAGCATAATTATAATTGAAAACGTAGAACAGTATAGTTTCACTTTTCGTTATATAAATTGGTGAATATAATTTTAGACTACATTTTTGTTTTTTGCTATGATTCAGCTGCATTTATAGTTACAGATCTAATTCTTTCAATGTCAGAAAGTCCGTATTAAAGACTATATAACTTGGAAAAAGAATTCAAAAAATCAGGCGCATTTTAGATGAGTTATGATGGAAACAATTTTATTCCAGCTGACATAGCTTTCAGATACTTTTAGTATTTTGCATTTTTTGACCTAGCGACAATTTTTATTTTTATTTCGATAGAGATAAACAAGAAAAGTGAGATATCATACTTGCTAAAGAAATCAGATATATTGTACTTTGATAATTTATTTGTCGATTTTTGATTCAGTTACAAAAAAAAAAAGTATTACGTATTGAAAAATTACTTTAAAATTAATTTTTCAAACGATAAGAACAATTCGATATAATTAAATATTATATGTTTGCGAATTATGTGAGAGTCAAACATTAGGAATTATAAGTTAATCTTTGAAAACTTCAACAATAGAGTTTAGATGGGTTTTAGTAGACGAAAAGATCATCCTAAATAGAAGTAAAATTTATTAGACAACAATGAAAAAAAGAACAAATATCTCAAAGCAAAATGATATTGTAATCATTAATTTTCTGAAAGATTCTAATCAGTCAATAAGACTTTTACTAACAGATACATTGATGTGTTCGAAATTCGTTGATTTCTAGAATTACAAAACCAATTCAATTATTTCTAAAGTATTGCTGCAAGACTTTCAGTACTATCTCGCTCTTTACACTATGTGAAATGCTTGATAATAAAACGTATTCAATAAGGGAATTATCACGATGAAGAACATATATTATCTAGATGCTGATTTAAAAAATTTCAGAACATGATGCAGTTAAGCTAAATTGAGCGCCTTTATGGAGAAAATAAGAAAGTAGCACACAATCAATTTCAAATGAGGTATGATCAATTTGCGGTATCTAGATTAGGGAGCTGGGAATTCACGTTTTTGTGAATCCGGATCCGGTCGGATTCAAACTTGAGGTTTTTCTCCATCAATACTTGGCACTCTTCGTGTACATGAACAAGTGAAGGATCAAGGTTTCAACTATTTATTTGCTACTCAACATACAGTTATATCTTGTTGCTGGATCTCTCATCTAGAGAGCAGCGGGTTCACAAAAACATGTAATCGAGCTCAATAAAAAATAAAATTATGGACCCGAACTCGACAAAAAAAAATAAAAGTTTGGATCCGAATGCGAATCGGGAAGTACCCACAGCTCCCTAGTTTAGATTCGTTAGTTCAATTATTTTCGAGCTCGTTAAAGATTCATTCATAATTCCAAAACCTATATTCAGCAAGAATAAAAAAATTCTAATTCTAATTCAATGCTTGAAATTTTCTTCTGATTTCCGTCAATAATCGAAAAAAAATGAAGAAATATTTTTTTTTAGAATCTTTTGCATTATTTGTTACATGCATTTATGTATTAAATTTTTCTAAATACAATCAATTCTTTTTGTAGATCTACTTATGATAGTAAGATGATATATTTATTTTATGTTAGTTTAAATCACATGACGACAAAAACAAAAAGAAAAATGAATGATAATAACATCAATTATGAATACGTAAAAGTATATAACTAACAGTTTAATTCTTTATGTTAATAATTTAATCGACTTTTGGCAAGTTTTGTACGATAAATTTACTGACATCTTCCATTTCCTATGAAGAAATAATACATTTAGATTAACTATTATTATGAATCTCTAACGAGTGTATGATTAAAAAAAATTTTACCTCATTACATGATGAATGCTCCATATTTCTATATTCTTTAAATGTATATTGTTTAAAACCCATCGCTTTAATACCTTGTTCAGTAAGACGAGCCCATTGTACTTGAACCATTGAATCTTGATCACCTATATATAGACGAATAATATATATTTTTATTTTAATTTATTAATTTTGTATTCTATATACCATGACATTGGAGAATAGGTAAATTAACTTTTTTATCACCGGATATGAGTGCCTGATAGAAATTAAAAAAAAAATTTTTTTAATTTAATCTAATAAAACAAAAAAAAGAAAAAGGCAACTTTAGGAAATGTTGTCGATAATGGAAGCCATGTTGATAAAGCTAAAACTCCACCAAGTGTATGAGGAGAAGTTAATGCTAAAGAAATAAATATGAGAAAATGAAGACTTTAAAAAAACCGAATACCTGCATGAATAGCAACAGCACCACCCCTGAAAATAAATATGAATATTTAGATAAAAATATAATTTATTAACTTACATTGAAAAACCACCAACCATCTAAAAATAATTATTTTAAAAAAAAAAAAAGATTATAATAAATTTTATTTACTCACTATACGTTCCGGTGATATTCCACCTTTAATTTCTTCTTCAATAAGATCACTTACTTAAAATAATATCATAAATCAAAAAAAAAATAAAAACATTAAATTCACAAGAAAATTCTTACAATATTTTGATGATTTTTCAATGCCTGGTTGATCTTCTTTAGCATTTTGATCAAGACCATGAATATCAAACCCTATTTTCACACAAAAATTCATCTTTTTTTTTCATATTCAATATGTTAAATGAACTTACAAGTAGGCATTGGCATTCCCATATTTAATGTTACTCTTTGAATTGGACTATTCAACAAAACAAAAACAAAAAGAATATTTTTATAAATTCGAATTTAGTTTTGTTTTTTGGACTTACGCATTTGGAAATATAAATTTTACATGCGGAACAGCTTTCGGAATTCGATACGTATTAAATGCTTCAAGCCAACTTGCTCTTTAAATGAACAAAACAAAAACATAGAAATTAATCTATAATTAGTGTCTAATATTAGATCACATTTCATTCTGTTGAAACTTAGATAGAACTACAATGTTTCATCTTCCGAAAGATCGAGCACAGGCATATAGTAACGGGTGTACGCGCCAGAATAAATGTGTCTCTAAGTATTTTCTCATTATTTCCATCTAGTGACAACGCCGAGATTTTTATACTGAAAGCTTTTTCAATTATTTTGATTTTTTAAGTGTACTAGTTCTATATTGAACAAACAATTCGTATTTATATACAGAGAATCGAAAACTGCAGTCTAACAAAATATTCTAATCAAAGATGTTCACCAACTGACTCGTTTAGATTCAATCTGCTCGATCCATAGTTCGTGCGCAAGTTGAATCTCAGACGAGTTACTACGGACTAATTAGTCATTTATCTATTTGTTTTGAAATATGTACACATATAAATGTGCTTTGGATGTGGGTCCTCTCTTAGATGTATCAAACCACCAGCTCACACCTGCACTAGTACAAAAGGATGTTTATTAAATAATATGTTATAAGTTCGTTGAAAGTAAAAAACAAATGGAAATAAATAATGAAAATTGTATATTGGAACATGTAATTATTACTTTTACTTTTTATTTGTTATCTTAATGTTTATGCATACGTTGAGAAATAACAGATAGTAAATAAATATATTACTAATATAATTTATATCAATCTGCGAGTCGAAGAAAAACAAACACTCATTCAATGCGTGAGACGGACAGGGCTGAGTATAGGGATGCACCAATTCCAATTGTTAGAATTAGTCGGAATTTGCATGCAATTGGTCTCAATCGACATTGATTAGGAGTAGAAACAGATGGTTATACCAGCAGCTGCTTCACTAATTACTTCGTGACCGAAGAAAAGCAAAGGTCTAGATTTAATTTTTTCAACAAAGAAAGAGTTTTTTAAGAAAATAACGATTTCTTATAAGGCTTAATCGGAGTCGGCGAATTCGAATCTGCAATTGGTTGCTCAAAACTTTGAACTTGATTTTTTAAGAAAATCATGATTTCATTTGAAGTTTGATCATCAGCGAACAGGATAAGTTTACTTGACAGTGGAACCAAGTGCAACGTTTTGAGTAGCCGATTACAGATTCCTTTTTTTTTACAAAGTAATGTTTCCGTCAAAATAAAAAAAACCTGGTTGAACCGCATTTCAATGTACATCATGAGAAAAGAACGCATTTAGTAATACCTTCCAAAACGTACTCTATTATATTGTTATATTTGTACATGCTTAATTGTTCTTAAAAAAACAAACAAATTTTGAAAGTTAGGCATGTTAGACCTTCGCAGTACTATTTACCCTAATATTTCCACTTAAGATTTTCTAGCAGAACTTGTTATGAAAATTGAATAATGAATCTCTAAAAACAAAGATTAGGATATGGCGATATTGAGAAAATATTCATTTATTCTGGCGCACTCATCACATGATAAAATAACCATAAACTTCGGAAAGGCCAAATTAGTCTTTGCAGAGACATTTCTTTCTAGAGTTTGTTTTGATTGATATAATTTTAGTTCTATGAACTCGAATCGAGGCTAAAACTAGTTTCATACATCTCTAATCCAAGTACTTTATTCAAATTTCTCAATAGGAAAATTTCGAAAGTGATATTAAATTTTGATTTCGATCCGAGTTTGAATAGAATTTCATATATATATTCATACCCAACATCGCCGAGACCATGTAAAAAGATTACC